AAGCATTCAATAGCATTTCTTCCTCTTCAACAAACTTTCTTTTCCCAATTGGGTCTTTTCAACCTGGAGACTGAAAAGGAGTCTCTGAGAAGGGGAGACTCTGAGGAGATCTTTTAGTGACTTACAGGTATGTGAGGGGATGTCATATGGAAGGGGGCCGTGACCTGTTCTTCCCCGCAGTGGAAGTAAAGCTCAGGGAACCAGGCTTCAGGTTGGTTGCCAGGAAGTGCTCCCTAATGGTTAGGACCCCTAGGATATGGAATGGGCTTCCACGGGAGGTGGTGGAGGCCCCATCAGTGAGGGTGTTCAAGGAAAGATCAGACAAGCACCTGTTGGGGATTCCATAAGTAGAGCCAGCTGTAGCTGGGTGTCAGACTAGATGGCCCAGAAGACCCATTCTTACTCTCTTTATTTCTGTTTCTAACTTTTTTTTAGCACAATGTATGCTGAAATAACCCTGTTTATAGATCTGAAAGCCATGCCCATTGCTCTGCTTCTTAATCTGATTTTTTGTGGCTTTCAGGGGTATAAAAATTGTTCCACACATGCTCAGGCACACTCTTAATGTTTAATTGACAGTGTTACTCTCTCCCTTAAGATATTCAAGTGCAGTGAAACTAATATATTAAAATAAAATTCATAAAGAAAATGGATAGCAGAGACACATTATTTTGTTCACAATAGTGACACAGATATTGTTGTAGTGGTCAGCCCCCCAGGAGTTCCCACCTCCTATGGCCAAGTGGGCTCTGATTTCCACTCAGGTATGCCCTGGCCCTGGTTCCCTGGCTTGACACTAGTTTCAGCACACAATGGCCCCAGCGCTGGGGGGAAAGGATTCTATGAAAAGGCTAAAAGATAGGGGTGGAGGGTACTAAAGCTAAGACACGCAAGGCAGAAATACACACAAAGAAGGAGGGGAAGGGGAAGGGGATTTGGAGAGCGGCACCAATAGACTTCACAGCCAATCACAGCCCCCCAAGACCCCATTCCCATTGGCCTCTTCGGACTCAAAGTAACAAAGCTCGGCCTAGCCTAGCTATACAGATACTACACCAGTCACAAATACCAGTGACACAGGGTAGCAGTGTTCCTCGGCGGAGAGTCTGGAAGCAAGATTGGAACTTCACCTCAAAGCGGTGCCCTGCGCCCCTTCAGGTTCTCCTCTTTTATTCCCCCCAGTCCAGATCAGATGGCTCATGGGGTGACAGTGTGTTTTGGATCCCAGGTGAGGACCATTTGCCCTTATTGGCTCGATCTCCAGCCTGCCCTTGGGAGTGCAAATTCTCCTGTTCCTAGGTATCATTTATAGTCCCTCTCCCTTTTGTATTCCCAGGGTCTGTCCGGCACCCCTGCAGTCTTGGGCACCAAGTAGAAACAGGGCAATTGTAGCATTTCTGTTCCGGTTGTCCATTAACACTTCTGTTACAGACCAAGGGTTGAGCCAGTTCGCACTACAGTTATATTAAAATATGCAAACACTCATTACTGTGGAATGTTTTTCCAAGTCAGTGTTTCATTTCATCAGCTTGAGGCAGTTTTGTTGTTGGGGATAACTGGAATACTTTAGTATTTATTCAAGTGTTTTAAATGTTAAATATGTTTATTTTTACATGATATTTATATCACAATAGTTTCAGCCTTTCCTATTTTTTGACAGCCTTATATAGTACAAAACTTTCATTCCTGTTTGTAGTGCTCCTGAAGAAGAAATATATTGGGCCAACCAAATCCCCATTCTTGTGCCTCCATTATACACCCTACCCACCAAATTTCCCCCTGTGTTCCCTGGCTTGCTTTACCCGTATCTGCTTTACCCAGACTGACTAACTTCTGCTGGATTGTGCTCACAACTTCACCTGTATCCATACAATCAAGATGCAGTCCTATATCCTATCAACTGGGAGCAAGCCTCATTGAATTTGATGTTATTTAACATATGAATGGCCATTTATACGGCTGCACTGCTTAGTTGCCATTCATTGCATACCTATCAGTGATTTAGTCCCATTCAATTCAGTTTAACATTATTACATTGCTTATAGTTCAACTTTTTCTCTCTTGTAAGGCAGCTCACATAGTTCTTCTCTGCTCCAGTTTTTAAATCCTCACATCAACAACTCTGTGAGGTTGGTTAGGCTGAGCGACTGGCCCAAAATAAGCTTCATGGCCAAGAGGGGACTAGAAGGCAGATGTTCCAGGTCCCCAGTCTAACATGGAGAGCACATGCCACCCTGGGCCTAACCTCTGACTAGATGTCCATAGGATTGCTCTGCACATTTAACATTCATCTCCTTGGAGAGACGATTATAAAACACTGAGTTACTCACTCAGAAGGGTCAATGCTATTAGGCCACCAGTGAGGAGAAGAATCATGGCACAGGTGATGCCGAGAGCAATCCGATACCACCGCAGGCACCAATGCAGACCTGTAAGAGCGAAAGACTGGTAAGATTCCCAGAAAACAGAAGGAAGGAAGCAGTTGGCTGGCCCGTGTGTTCCTCTGCGGCATTTTTAACTCGTGAGTGGCTGCTTGGTCAGTGTAAAGCATCTCCATCTCTACTAAGGCAGGGCTCCAGCCCTTCCAGGCAAAAGGAATTATGTAGCTTTCTCATCTTTTTACTCTTAAGAGGTTTTGACATGGTATGGAAACCCAGGAGGGTTATGAATGGGAGATGGCATCCCTCACACATTTCCATGAACCAGGCAGGAGGCCTTCACTTTAAAACCCTCAGCTGGAGGCAGCCTGAGATAGAATAAGGTAACTTGAAGTTCATAGTTCCCCCTTCTAAGGATATATTTAAGCTGCTGCCACAACATCCAGTATTTCCCTTTAAGCTAAAAACAGAGAAATAGAACTTGTAATATACATCTAAATTATTTTTCTTTTTTGCATGATGCCATTTTTAAAATCACAGAGAGATGAAGCCAGAGAAATCGGAGGTACAATTTGTTCTGAAGAGTTGTTATCCAGAGAAATGTTTCCAAGGGTTTTTTGTGTAGTTCAGGGGATGGTCCAAAAGAAACGGGAGTGGCTGTCTTGGTCCTGCCCTTGTGTGGTTCGCAGGGAAGGGATTTCCTCTCTTGAGTGCCGGCTAAGCCAAGCTGCCAGCCTCTGGGGCGTGGGCAGCTGATGAGCAGACAGGAGCACTAGGACCTGGGCAACCAGGATGGGGCACAAGGGCCGGTCCAGAAGCACAGTCAAAACAGTGCGAAGGTCAGGGCCAGGAGTTGAACCACAAAGCAGAGTCCATTCAAGAAGCAAGCATGGTCAGACAAACTGGGGGTAAAGAAACAGAGTAGACAAGCCAAGGAGAGCAGGTAGCTGAGGGATGGAGCAGAAAAATGAGCAGGCAAGGGCCAGGAAGCCAGGCAGGGTCCAGGTGTGGGCACAGGATCATGAGCAGCAGGAGCAGGGTCACAGGCAGAGTTGCAGGGGCAAGTCCAAGAAAGCAGCAAACCAGGAACACGTCAGCTCTCAGGAGGACATGCATTGCCAAAGTAGCTTCTGAGAGGAAGACCCTGTTCTTATCTAGCCCTTCTCCAAGGGCTCCCAGGTGGTGCTCATGAGTTGTAGTCCTACAACTAGGACCAGGGCTGCTGTGCTGGTCCTTGACCAGCACAGGGAGCCTTGAAGCCCTATAAATTGCCAAAATGTTGCTCTGTGTGGGCCTAGGTCCCGGAAGTGGGATTACAGGAGCCCATGAGCAAAATGAGTGCAACCGACCAATAGTTAGTTTTTGTGCTTTATTTATTAGCTTTGTCTGGAGGTCGCCTGTCAGCATTATGCTCTTTGGTGGTGAGCAGCGTCAATCTGAAGCAAGACCCATTCAGGGATGGAATTTACTGGGCAGATGTGCAATTATGTCCTTCAACCAGTCCGCCTTACATTAATCCTTCTTTGCCACGTGCTGCCCCCTGCTCAGGCCGACAACTGTGATTGCAGCCTTGCAATCATTAGTCTAAAGCAAGCAAAAGCCATTTGCCCACAACACGTAAAATGACAGGTAGCCCGAGCTAGATTTACGTTGACCTTTTAAGGGAGACTTGACCAACTGGCCAATCCGGATAGCTGGATAGCTGAACTGCTCTAGGAGGGTGGAAATCAGAGCTGAGAGCCAAAGTATGAACAAAGGTGTGAAAACCACTTTGTTTTTTAAAGGTTGCAGTTTGTCACCCATCAGCTGAAGCCTGCTAATAAAAAGAAGTTTTGAGCCTCGCTCCGGAAATGACTGAGTTGGCCTAAGTCCCCTCAGGGAAGAGTCGCGGGGTGCAGTTTGCCCAACAACTGCGAAGTTCCTTCCAAAGGCTGCAGGGGCAGAGGGCCAAAGGGACAGGATGCTGCTGTTTTAAAGATCCTACTAAGAGCAGGGCCAGGCACCTAGAAGCCCCTTGAAAAGCAGCACACAGGAATGGCTTCAGAACAAAAGAAACTGACTGTAGAACAAAATGAGAAATTGGAGATGACCTTAGACCTAAATGAAAAGCTGGATAGTCATATCGTGACTATAAATGCTCAATTTGCAGATATTCAACTGAAAACAGTGCAGAATGAACAAAAAATAAAAGAGGTGGAAAATAAGACTGACAATATTGATAAGAAGACCGAAGTGACGAGTAAGGAAATACAACATTTAACCAAAATAAAATAAGACACTATGGTACTTAGTGGCTGTATTGGAGATGGATAAGGCATCTAATTATTTGAGACTACAGAATGTACCAGAGACAAAAAATTAAGACTTAAATGACCGAATAAATACAATGCTAGTTGATGATCTTGGCATTGAAAAGGAAGAGACTGATAAAGAAATTGATTTGGTTTATAGAGTAAACTTGAGTTATGTGAGAAGATATAAACTATGAGAGACGTCCATATCAAATTTATAAAAAGTTCTGCAAGAGATGAAATTCTCAAAATTCTATGTGACCAGCCATTAAAATGCGATCAAAATGATATAATTGATTTGAAACAAATACCCTGGAGAAACAGAGAAGGATGGAAGAAATATCAATTCCTTACCTCAAAGTTGATGGCGAAAGGAATCGTGTTTAGATGGCTGATACCAGAAGGGATAATCTTTAACCAGAATTCCAGAAGATTTAGACTAGACTCA